CTCGCCTTCCTTTCCTCCCTCCCTCCTCCCTCCCTCCCTCCCTATCTCCCTTCCTTCCTCCGTAGAGCCTTCCCTCCTCTTCACCTGTCCTGCAGACTCCCTGGTCCCCTCCGGCACCTTAAAGATGTTTCGCGCCAAATAAATCTCAAAGGCGTCTGCCCGTCTGTCCACGCGCTTGCTGAAGCGGTCGATCAGTTGCTGCACGCGCTAAAAAAGGAGGCAAGGAGGGAAGGAGGGAGAGAGGGAGGGAGGGAAGCCGATAAATGTCTTCGCGGTGGAAAAGGCGCAAGGGAGGTGGCAAATCCCGCAGAAAGGAGGTGGCTGGCCTCTCCTTTTCCCTCCCTTCATCATCCTCCCCTCATCTCGTTACTTCCATTCCCCGTCAACTCCTATTCCTCCACGCCCGCACACCACACCCATGCCCCGCCCTTGCTTGTCTTTCCCTTTTCCTCTCTCTTTCTGGTCCGTTCCTCTCTATTTTTCCTCCTTACCGGTGCGACATGGGACTCGTATACGGCCCCAGCTTCCTTGCCGTCTCCCCCATGCTTCCCTCGGACACCCCCCCTCCCCGCTGCCATGGCACGGCAAAAATCACGTTTCACGTCTTGCATCGCCCCTTCCACGTAGTCCGTCATGATGCTTGTCACTTGTTTCGACAAGATAAGTGGGAGGGAGGAAAAGGTGTAAGGAGGAGGAGGGGCAAGGAGGGCGGGATGGTGAGTGCCACAGGAAAATCATGGCCCGAGACGCAGGGTCCAAGATTTGGCCCATGGAGCTTTGCTATGCCAACTACGGTGTCTTTCAAGCCTACACACGAGCATTATGGGACGATTCTATCCATTTTTGCAGTATGTGCCGGACCTGAGGCGTGGGCTAAGTGCACCTTATTGACCCGCCTCACGCCCTCCCGTGCTACCCGGTTCCCGCATCCTCTTCACCCCTGGCTTACCTCGATCTGTGAATTCCTCCGAATCCATGCCGTAGAAGGCTGCCTCTTTGTTTTTCATGCTCGCTAGGGTTTCGCGGGCAGGGGCGGTAGTCAGCTTACTGCTCTGTTGATTGTCGCTGCTCGTGTCGCGTGCACCCGCGGCCATGACAGATGGTGGCGAGGGCACAGCCGGCATGTGCCTGCTGTCTTTATGTGCACGTGAGTGTGTGGTGTGTGTGTGTGTATGCATGTGGACTTGCATGAGTATATGAGGACCGGGAAAGAAAGAGGAGAGCACGTGAGGGGGGACTTGCTCAGGGAAGAGAAAATCAAATAATGCGGCGAATGAATGGGTGCCATGGGTCGATCTGTCCCCGCGTCAGGCAAAAATGGTCTCCGCACGCTTACCATACATGCCATTTTGGCACAAGGGCGCACACAACGGAACTCCATGGTCCCTTAGGTTTTGAAATCAGACGGAACGTCGCCCTTGGAACAAGAACCGAGCGAAGCAAAGAGCGAGTCGAGCAAACTGCGAGGTCCCAAAAGAATACCAAAGCCATCCATGGGAACTCAAAGAAAGGGTTTCTTGCTACACACCACCCTTCAACGACCGTCTGCAATGCCTGTTGAGTGCATGGATGCTGGCATGGAGGCAAAGAGTGCATGTGCCTGACCTATCATTCCCTCAAGGAAAAAGGCGCCAACCATCCAGCCCCCCCCCCCAGGAAAACCCGTACACTTCCTATCTGCCACAAACCTGGGTATCTACCCTCTTTCATGTCCTCAAATTGCCAACATTCCCTATAAAAGTATTGGTGTACCAGGAAAAATACATGTCTTTGGGGACTGCGGCTACTGGCGCGAGCCTATCGTCCGTCGCGACATCAGAAGCACCGTCTACACAAATTGAAGACGCTTCAACCCCGAAGCAAAACGCACTCCCAAACGCCACGGAAGACGAGGAAAAAACCGGGCAGAACCAATCTCAAGCAAACGGTCAAGAAAACGAACACAAGGCAAACGATCACGGAGCCATACACGCAGGAAAAGGCTGGGAAAGCGACGTAATAGTCAAAGCCGAGTACGTGTGCGGGGAGGTACCCCGCTCTGTCCTATATAAAAGACGATGCGAACTTCACCGTTGTACGGCACCTCGAGACTCTCATATATAGCATATTTGCCATTCAATACCCTCTTTTAGGTACCGCATACCCAAATTTGTGCCCATCTCGGCCCCAGCTCCATCCTCCCTTCCTCCGTCAGATTTGCCCCTCCACCCTCGACACGATACGCCCGTGGCGGATACTCCGGACGCAAAAGCCAAGAAGAAAAAAGGGGGACGGAACCATAAACGACCGCGGGACGATGCTCAGGCGGAGG